CACATCCAATTCTCAGCCTTCTTTCTGGAAAGCAGGCTCGGGAAAAAAGTCTAAGGTATCTGAAAACCCAGTCTAGCACAGAAGCAACAGAGAGAAGCATCAAAGGCCAAGTAGGAATGAGCTTTCAACTACAATAGGAAAGACTTCATTTATGCTTTTGGAAGAAGACCCTTGCTTGCATTTTATATAAGCCTAGCTGAAGAGGCCTCACCTGAAGCTTTCTACAGAAAGGGCCATTCCCCTCATTTCCACCTCTCCCCCTGTCCAGACTTTTAAGGTCCTTCCCAGCACCAAGTATCTCGAGTTCTAATAGATGTAAAGCAGACTGGCTTATTAGAAGACTCTTCATTCATGTCCCCCAAAGTTCATGCAGCTCTGGTCCTAGAGTACTGCGGGCTCTGAAATCTCCTCTAATGCTGACAAGCATGATCATAGGCAAGTCACTTCTTTCTCTGGTACCTACGATAGGATTATACAGAACAGCTGTCACGTTGGTTGTGTTTGGCACTTGCCTTCCAAAGAGCTCCATGTGCCCACATGCTATGCAGGTTTCGATCATCATCTTGCCATCACTAAGGGGTAGGGGTGGGATTTAAGAGAAAGGGCCCTGGATTTAGAGTCAGAAGACCTCAGCTGGAATTCCAGGTCTGCTCCTCACCTGTAGATTAAGCAAACCCCACCCCCCTTGGGCCTCAGTTGCCTTATCTATAACATAAAGGAGCTGGACCAGATCGTTTCTAAGGTCCCTTTCACCTCCAAATACCATGGTCTTATGATCGTTACAAAGTGGGAGAAACAATGTTTGGTTTTCCCCCATTTTACAAAGTTAAAGTAACTCAGACAGTGTCACACAATACTCAGACCACCAAAAGAATCCGGGTCTCCTGACATCCCTCCATAGCCACAATCATTAACTCATGCTGCCAAAAGGGGGAAGGGGAGAGTGTCATTGATTGCATCCAATTTCTCAGTTTGTATTTCCTGAGGTGCCAATGATCTGTGCCCCTTCTAGAATTAACAAAGCAATAAAGCACTACATGAAGGAACCCAGAGTGCATGGGTGACTCTCCCTCCTCTCCTCAAATCATTATTTATATCTGAATGGCTAAAGAAATTCCTCAAGTAAAAATTTGGGATGTGAAGCTGAGGACAAAGCAATGTCACATGCCAATGAAATAATCGGCACCAAATAACTGTGTAGCTGCGGTCTGGGGAAGGACAACAATGTGCCTTGTGCCTGGGCAATGGCTGAGTAGTAATGCTATAGGAATATAATGGAATATGAGAAGCACAAAATGAAATGAGGAATACAAAGAATTCAAAGAAATGTGCAAAGACTTTCATGAGGTGAGACTAAGTGGAGAAAGAAGAACCGAAAGATTCTGACAAGCCACAAAAATCACTTATCCGACCTTGAACAGGTCACCAAAATAGTCTGCTCCTCAAAGACCAACTTCAGCATCCTGGAAATGATTAATGGCCATGGTCAGAGATAAACATTGAGGGAGCAGCAGCTTATTCCACTGCTGAACTAAAGCCAAGAAAAAATCCGCTCATTTCTCCAAGCCCAGTCTCCCCTGCGAGTACATTAGCTGACCCTGGTCTGGGAACCATGTAGAGTTCAATTCCATTACCTGAGATAGCAAATTCTCCAGCGAAATGGGATCCATCCGGCTGTATACTTTCCACAAATCAGCACTTACATCCTGCAGCTGAAACACAGGGGCAAATGCAGTGAAAGTCAGTATCATGAGAACCCTTCAAGCCTTCTTCTGTTCCAGGAGCGAATCCTGGAGCCCACGGGCCCAAAGTGCTTCCTCCTGCTGCAGGCCTTGTGCCACACAGGAAAGACACAGAAAGCAGGAGCAGTGATCAAAATACAGAAGCTCATTTTTTAATAAACACCACAAATTACATATCTAGAGGAAGCTTGTCTGCTTCTGGAAAGTCACCTTAGGAGACTAGCTGCTTATTCTAATGATCCCAAATACTCAAAGTGTTCTGAGAATTCTTCTCGATCTACCCTTAAATCTGGCAGAACATTCTACAGACCATCCTCATCAGTCCCTTGGGCATAGATTTGGGTTTGGGACATAGCCAGTATTTTCAAAGGGAATAAAGTTCCGAGAATAAGGTGAGTGGTACCAATTTTTTTGGGGGGGAAAATCCACCTACGTTTTTCAGACTGGTTTTCTTGGGTGGCTCATAAACCAGCACAGAGAGTGATTTCCAGAAATGCTCTGTGTAATGGCAGCTTTTTTTTTTAAAATAAGCGTAGCGTCCCCAGATGACTACTTAGTTATATGGGTGCTTGTCCATTTGTTTCCAAGAGAAACAAGAATGACAAGAAGGCATTTATATGGAGCTTTGAGGTTTATAGATGAAATTCACCAAAATGGATTAAAAAAAAAGATCAGTTAGTAGAAGAACAAGAGATGCTTAACTAAAGCAATGGCTGGATTCCAATTTTACCAACTGGATTTCGCTGGTGGGGGGCTCTCCCTACTCACACAGATGCAAGCCTTCTGTGCTTCAGCAGCAGAAGCCAGGCTCTGGAATTAGAGCCGTGGGCGTGGGGCTTCTCTCCACTCACTCACATGCAGCCCCTCCCCACATTACATGTTTTTCATGAATTGGTAGCTGAAAAAAATTCACCACCCAGGTGGCCAACCTTCTGGGTATGAGCTTCTCTGAATGTGGCTAAACTGGCCCCCAGATGACAGTCACAGACAGACTTATTAGGAGCCCTGGTTGGAAAGTTGCATAGTGTTCAGCTGTCACTGGGACAATATTCAAAGAATTTTGGGCTCCACCTACCCATCACTGCCTGACCTTCCAAACTCTAAAGCCTATATTCCAGTAGCATAGGTAGTGAATCTAGGAGCAAGACACTAGAGTCAGGGTGGGCAAAAATAGGTGAATGAGTAGACAATAAGGTAAGGAAACCTATTTTTTTATTTTGTTATAATTTGTTTGTTAATAAATTAATTTATTTTTACCTAATTTCTTATTGGTAGTTGATGGCAACAGAGGAAAACTTTAGGCACACATTTAGCCTACTGTGGGTTTGGTCCCAAGGGAAAGCAGAACAAGCATCTTTGTATGAATGGGAGAGTTCAGGACTTTATAATCCCGAAAGGGAATTTAGTATTTTATCCTCAGAGAAACCAAAAGCTTTTTTTTCCTATTTCTTTTACACTTCAAAAAGAAACCCATGAGGTAATTTTAATAATAATAATATCTTCAGAAAAGTATGATTGTAAAAAAAAAAAAGATGGGCTGGTCACATAGTAAGAGAAAAGACTAACCCATGGACAGCTCATATGCTCCACTGGCATTCATGGATTCTCTCTTTTTTGTTGTTCTTTTTGTTGCCAGGCAATGGGGTTAAGTGACTTGCCCAAGGTCACACAGCCAGTAAATGTTATGTGTCTGAGACCAGATTTGAACTCAGGTCCTCCTGACTCCAGGGCCAGTGCTCTATCCATTGTGCCACCGAGCTGACCCTCATTCACACAATCTCAAGAGAACTATAGGAAAGGTAGCCCTAGTCTCACTGGGCTGACACCATATCTCTAGCACCTAGGACAGGGCTGGTAGACTGATTGATTTTATTTGTTTTTGTTTTTGTTTTTGTTTTTAGTGATGCAATTGGGGTTAAGTGATGTGCTCAGAGTCACACAGCTAGGAAGTATTACATGTCTGAGGCTGCATTTGAACTCAGGTCCTCCTGACTCCAGGGCTGGTGCTCTATCAACTGCATCACCTAGCTGCCTCCAGACTGATTGATTTTAAACTGGGCTAATAATAACTGTAGTCCCTCCCTCCTTCCCAGGGTTATTTTGAGGATCAAATGAGATAACAGATGTAAAGCCCTTTGCCAATTTGCAAATGCTACATACATGTCAGTTATTATTATTCGTTCATGCTAAAAAGGAAAATGCTCAGTGTCATTTCCAAATGTATAGAACCACAAGCTCTGCTGTGCTGGCCCTGAAGGGCTATTGCTTCTGCTTCTGCAGCCTCCATGGTATGGGCCCTCGCTACTCTATCTGCTTATAACGTGAGCTTTGGTTGTCGCTGTGCCTAGTGGGGCACTCCTGGCTCCTCTAAGCTCAGAAAAAAGCTGCTCTCCTTGCTGGCACCTCTCAGGTGTTATCTACACAAACACCATTATTACTAGACTGACAAAATAACTAAACTTGGGAAGAAAGTCAGAATTAACTCTTTTCATGTGTTGCCTACGTGTCTCATACTGCTGGATACCAAGATGAGGCACTTGGTCAACAATGTCAAATAAGGATCAGAAAAGACTGCAGATTTTTAGCCCAGAGAAGAGAAAACTCGGGGGGGGGGGATCCACAAGCTATCTCCAAGTATTTGAAAATTATCATGTTGAAGATTCATCAAGGATATTTGTTCTGTTTGACTCCAAAGAGCAGAACCAGGAGCGAATGGTAGACATTTTCAAGAAGCAAGTTTAGACTTGGTGTTAAGAATACTTCTTAACAACGACAGCTGGTTCAGGGTAGAACAGGTTACTTCAGGAGTTGCTTCCAAAGGGAGAGTTTCTGGCAGGGACTAGATGACTAATTGTTGAGAATGTTATGATAGGGATTACTGTGGGGCATTTAGTTTATTTGTTGTTTAGTTTTTTAGTCGTTTCTGACTCTTTGTGACCCCATTTGGGGTTTTCTTGGGAAAGATACTGGAGTAGTTCGCCATTTCCTTCTCCAGCTCAGTTTACAGATGAGGAAACTGAGGCAAATAGGATTAAGTGACTTGCCCAGGGTCACACAGTTAGTACATGTCTTAGGCCAGATTTGACCTCAGGGAGATGAATCTTCCTGACTCCAGGCCTGGAACTCTATACACTGTGCCACCTTGCTGCCCCAACTAAACAGCCACTGAAGTTCATTCTAACACTAAAAGTTACATGAGTCTGTGAAATATTCATATTTTCTTCACATCAGATCAAAAAATCATAGGCTTTTATTGGGAGGTAGTTGGTTCCTCCTGAGTGGTACGTGGGTACCAGTTATCAGTGAAGACCCCTCAGGACATGATCCCCCCCTTTTTCTTTTCTTTAGTTGTGTAAGCAGAAATTCCTGAACTATAGTGTGTTCTGTTTATCTCATCCTCTAGCTACATGACCTTGGGTAGTAGACTGAAGTCATAAGGCCCCAAAAGAGGAAACTGTTGCGGTTACTGTACTCCTTTGTCCTCTTCGTTGCTGTGGAAGATTTACGCAAATAGATTGTGCCCCTGAGGCTCAGCCAATGGGCCAAAGGCGGGGGGTTAGGGTGGGCTATTGAGCTAGGGTCTATATAAACCTATTTTAAACAAAGCACTCTTGCACTGTCTGGCTGACGCCATTTTGGGTGACACAGGAGTGTCCTTTCTCGAGAAAGCCAATAAAGCAACTTTCCTTTTTGCAATTCTTGTCAAGACTCTGATTCAAATTTGGATGGGGGTCTTTTGTCCCACACACTCCTCATTGGAAGTCTAGTGGTTGGATGATTGATCACTTTGTCAAAACTATTTTATTTATCTATTTTATTTGCTGGAGATTCCTTCTTAGGTACAGGTTGGACTAGATGGTAACTCTTCCAACTCAAGAACTCTGTGATTCTGACCTGTGTGACCTAGGTAGAATGCGCCCTTTAGAAAACTCAGAGATATGGTCACTGGCTATCCCTTGATTTGGAGAACCCAGTGAATATTTCCTGACCAGTCAGTTCAATGGGTTTTGAAAACTTTGCTAACAATGTTAACTTCATAGGTTTAGTCTCCATGTAGCAGCCAGTCAGTTCTACCTTGTCTCACTATAATACTGTATCTCTGACCCCAGTCAACTTGGGGTCTTTGCTTGATCATTAGGAGCTCCAGATTCAGGAAGCATGGGTGGTTGGTTCACCACTACTGGAAAAAATTTTTTTAAAAGAGACCACACATTTATTGACAGTAATGTCAATAACACTATCTGGCTAAAAAAGAAGTGTGTAATTTTTAAAATTTTCTTTTTAAAATGAAAACTCATAAACTTATTTCTAATTATAACTAGTTGTAGTGGATTTCCAACTTAAGGTTCCTGGCCTTGAAGGAGAAGTCTACACCTACTAACTAGCATGGGTGTAGGCAGGACCAATGTCAGTCCCCTTAGGAATCCATTCTGGTTTAAAGAAACCAAAGTAGAGATCATAAGAAAGTTGAACAATCTTGGAACTCTACAGCCAAGCAGGCAAAATAGAATGCAAGGGCTCACATTACAAAAGTATTTATAGCAATACTCTATTGAAGCAAAGAACTAAAAACAAAGTGTGTGTCCATCAACTGGGGAATACCTGAACAAACTGAATTTAATGGGACGTTATTATAAGATAAGAAATGATGAATGTGAAAGATTCAGAGAAACCAGGGAAGAATTGGATGAACTGATGCAGAATTAAACAAATAAGCCAGGAGAATGATTTACAAGATGACCACAATAATGAAAAGGAAATAACTCTGAAAGACTTCAGAACCTGATCAACTCAACCAGTGACTAATCATGCCTTCAGAAGGCTGAAGACAGATGTGAGTTTCTTGTTTCTTGGCAGAGAGGACATGGCCTAAGTATAGAATGAGACACATTTTCAGACACAACCAACCATGTGGAATTGTTTTGCTTGACTATATCTGTTTATTACAAGGGAGGAAACTTCTGTTTGATGGGTTGGGGTGGGAATAGAGAGTTAGTGGTTAGTGATAAGATATGCAAAAAGAAAAAAACAACAATAAAAAATAAAAAATACACTGAAGTGAAAAGTTCAGAAGAGAATTAAACAGGGCAATTTTGTTACTACCTCATTAAAGTTGATACACAGTTTTTAAAAACAAACCTTAAGAGGTTCATATATACTTCTAATTTTGCTCTTTGTATATCACAAAAATGTTTGTTGATTATTCTTAAGTTCATAACAGAAAAGTATGTTTATAATATTCACTATTTCACTCACAATTTTCTTTTTCTGTTCTTTATGTATGTAAATATTCATGTTTGTCAAGTTCATAACCAAAAAAGGAAAAAAAATGGAAAAGCACATTTTGACAAAGTCAAGCAGACCCAAGGCAGTGAAAGAAAAATGATGCCTCTTAGAACAACTGCCCTATGAGTATAGCCTGACCCTGCCACAAGCTGGAAGCGAAAGGAAACAGTTCTTGAACCTTGTCAAACGGACAGTACAGTGTTCAGAATAAACTAAAGCTGGGAAAGGACTGAAGAAAAAGCAGAAAATGACAATTGGTCTGTCTGTGAGCTTTGACAGTCACTTACTCTTCAACTTCCAAAAAGGATAACTTCCATGGGAATTTTGCTATCAGTATCTTCTCCCTACAAAAATGATCTTTCCCTTCTGAACTTTCATATTGCACTTGGCCTCCACCTCCCTTTTATACTTACCACACTCAATCTCTTGTCCTAGTGGGGGGCAGTGAGGTGATGCCCCCAGAGTGCACAGACAGCTGGGCCTGGAGTTAGGAAGATCTGAATCAACTCTGGCCTCAGACATTTATTATCTGTGTGACCCTGGGCAAGTCACTTAACCTCTGCCTGCCTTGGTTTCCTCATCTGTAAAACGGGGATGATAACTGCTCCTGCCTCCCAGGGTTGTTGTGAGGACCAAATGACATAATGATTGTAAAGCGTGTAGCACAGTGCCTGGCTCTTAGTAAGGGCTATGTAAATGTTAGCCATTATTATTTGCATACAAGAATCATTCCTCTTTATTACTACATAGGCTCCCTGAGGGCAGCATTTGTGTCTTATTGCCTCCCCAACACAGGGCCTTGTACATAGGAAGCACTTAGTAAGTGTTTGTTGGAATTAAATGAAATATGAAAGGAAAAAAATCTTGTTTATTTTAGGTATTAGAGTATTAAGGACTTCCATTAAAATACACACATACTTTCACCACCCTTACTAACTTCCTACATGACATCAACCTCTCTCAAATGTCATAAAGATGGATGTCATTGTGGTGTGTGACCTCCAAAGAAAATGGCTACATCAATTCTAGGTCTGCCGTTTCTGCATGTTGGACAAAGCCAAGTTATAGTATTTTTAGATATACCTGATATTTCATGGTAAAAAATCCATCCCCACCAATGCCTTCAAGTGCGAAAGCCTGAACAATTGGCCACTTCTCCACCACAAACATATCAAATATCTGCAGGTGACCTGGAAGAAGCAAACACATGACAGCCTATTATAATATAGCTTGTTATCAGATCTGATCTGACCGACATACCAGTCTGAACCTGACCTAACACGACTAGCCTCTAAGAAAGGCATCAGTCCTGCTCTGACCTCCAAGTTATAGAAAAGTTCTTTTACTGTATTTAACAAAGTTCTCATTCAGGAAAAACACCACCACCACAAACCAGAAAACCCAATGAAGTCACCATAGACCACAACAGGGAACATATAATTCAAGAAGAAAAAATAATGTAAATATTCAAGATCCA